GAGGGAAGCTAGTTGGTCAAAGCCTTCATCTTTCCCTTGGTGCTTTCAATGGCCTCGTTCAACTTCTGGGCATGGGCCGCGACCTGCGCAGGTCATCAGAAAATGAAACATTCCAAAACACTTTGCTTGAAAACAATGCGTGTGGTGAGGTATAGACATGTTGACCCACGCCCAAAATTTATATCCAAAATAGACATCAATGCCTTCTTCGCGCACAATCGAAGGCTTCCTTGGTCAGAGGGGGGCCCTTCTCGCCAGGAAACTCCTTGAAATCCTTGATGTGCTTCAGGTCAGACAAATGCGTCTGGCTCTCGGTGTGCAGGAGCCCTTGTAGTCTGCGCCGGTGATGGCCTGTGTGAGCAGCTTCAGAACTGACAAAGGAAGCTTCTCTCCTTCGACCATGGACTTCGAGTCCGTCTTCTTCCAATTGAAGCTGCTCCAACAAGTCCTCCAAGCAGTTGGACTGATCAGCTGTGATCCAGCTTCGATCTTGCGAAAGCCGAAGAACTCCACCCCATCTTCGCTGTGCATGACATAGACGTCGCCTGAGGAGAGCGCCTCGTGAAAACTGGACTCACTGTTCTGAAAGTAGAGTCCTTTCAACACACTCTTCGGCAATCCGGTTTCGGAATCCTTGCCGTATTTGTGCTCGTAGAGCTTTTTGGCCTCAACAAACATTGGCTTCTCCGCATTCAACTAGTATCTGCCGTTCTTCAATTTCGTGAACAGCTGGTTGATCACCTGCGTCCTGAACTCGCGAGGACTTGGCTTCGAAAGGGCCTCGGTATCGTAGAGGTGAATGATGTGGGCCGGCAAACTCCTCCTCATCGAGTTAAATTTTATACTCTTTCCTTTGTCGCGGAGGTGAGAGTCCTCCTCCTCTCCAACAGACTCTTCCTCGTTGTCGTCCTCGTCCTTCTTGGAGCTTGAAGATCTGAGGCCACGCTTCAGCTCGTTGATCGCCTTGTTCATGCTTCCACTGGCAGCTGGCCTCTTTTTGGTCTCCGGCTCGACATCCTCAGCCTCATCCTTCCTTGATGATGGTCGCTTCATGGGAGGCGGCGTGGTGAGAGCGGTACTCCGAAAGTCGATGCGCGCTGCTATTGGACTTTCCAGCTAACTGCTTCAAGGATATGGGAGCAAATTCACTTTCTCTCAACCAACAAGTGCACAAAGTTATTCAGACAGGTAAGAGCTCTCAACAATTGCAATATAAACAATGTATAGAAGTTGTAGAAAAATACATAAATTTTCTTAACTTATGAATGTTCAAAAGTAGAAGTTTACTAGAAGTCTCCATGAAACTTCAAGTTTCCACAACTAGAAGTTTACTAGAAGTTTACTAGCAGTCTACTTGAAGTTTACTAGAAGTTTTGTGAGCAACTTTGCAAATTCACTGTAAGGGTTGTCATTTTCAACAAGTCAAACTTCTACTTTA